GTGTCTCACATTAGCTAGAAGAGTCAGGAAGTCAAGCAGAGAAGTTTTGCAGGCCTGGCTGGATTTACATACACCCAGACAAGCCAGTGATGTGTCACCAAGGGCGAGAGAGTTGCTCTGTCTGGTGCCAGGCCTATGTCAGAGCAGACCCTGGATAACCCTGTGCTCTGCTCAGGAGTCTGTGTTTGGAACCATTTGCATGTACAGTAGCACACAGGGAGTCTGAACAGGTGGTATTGGGAGTCTTGAACATGGGACATCTGCCAATACCTTTGGAATTCTTGCAGCTCAGCAAACCCCAGCTTGGGTGAGGCACAAGGCTTCACTTTTAGCATCTTTCAGAGAAAGTCATAGTTCCCAGGGAATGTGAGTCCTCAGTCAGAGCTGATAGGACCTGCTCTTACCCACATCCCTTTCCTGTCCTCTGCAGACTGTGTATGCCAAGGACTGTCCTCTCGCAGCAGCCAAAGCTATCCAAGGACTGCGGGCAGTTTTTGACGAGACCTACCCCGATCCTGTCCGTGTGGTCTCGATTGGCATCCCTGTGGAGGAGCTGCTGGCTGACCCCTCTGGTCCTGGGGGCTCCATCACCTCAATTGAGTTCTGTGGAGGCACGTGAGTATCTGGAGAGGCAGGGAAGGCAGCAGGGAAGGAGGCAGGGTGGCTGAAAAGGAGTTCCTGTGGAGCCCAGTCTCTGCTGGGAGTGCTGTGGGTACATGCAGGGCACAGCCAGGGCAGAGCTGGAGGCGGTGGTGATGTACCTTTGCATTCCCACTCCTCAGGCAATCCGTGTTTAAAATCAAGACTTTGCAAGCAGGGAACTGCCCGTATTGCCCTGCCCACACGCAGGGTCTCTGGCAGTGCTGGGAGCACAGCCCTTGCCACCCTTTCCTTGCTCTTTTGCTTTTAGCAGCTTGGTTGGGTTTTCTGCCTGTCCCCACACTTGCTGCATCTCCCTGGCAGAGTGGTTGTCTTGTTTCTGTGCTGATTCCTGCTGAGATGAGAGGTGGACTGCTAACTGTCTCTTGTGGGTCTGTCTGGGTTCTTTCCAAAGGCACTTGCAGAACTCCAGCCACGCTGGCCCCTTTGTGATTGTTTCAGAAGAAGCCATTGCTAAAGGCATTCGGAGGATAGTTGCAGTCACCGGGGCTGAAGCTCGGAAGGTAAGGGGAGGCAGGAGAGATCCTCTGTGAAATTCCACGTATTAACCCTATGCCAGAGTTCCTTTTGTTTGAATTTGTACAATATCCCTGTCAGCACGAGGGAGAATGAACAAGGGATGATGCTCTCCTTGGGAATAGCAGGGACTCAGGGAAAAGGGTGCTGCTGTTGGCAGAGGCTGGGCTGGAGGCCCCGGCTGTGCTACAGTCAGAAAGAGAAGGGGAGAAGTCCTGGCTTCTCAGTGTTGTGTCGGGGGGGCAGAGGGGCCCAGGGTGGTCTGTGGATGGCTCTGGGAATAGCTCAGGTTGCTTAGCAGAATGGGCTGCAGATGTAGAGCTCTCAGCAGCTGTCAAGGCTGGCAGGAGAGTGGTGAAGTCTGAGAACACAGTCCTCTGCTGCTGGGCTAGCAGATCCTGGGCTAGCTTGGGCTGGTGCTTCCTAGAGTGGGAGAAAGGGGTTCATGGGGGAGATGGTTTCTGTTTTTGAGGATCTTTCTTTTGCTTCTGGCAAAGAAAGAGTCATGGGGCCTGTCTGCCAGCATCATACCCTTGTTCTAGTCAAGTGCTTGTTGCTTTGGCTCTCTGTCTTCTGGAGGAGTTACTAAGCTCCATGCTAGGGCATTCCCTTCTTACCCTGGGGTGGTCAAGAGCCCAGCCTGCTCAATCTTCCTACCTGATTTAACCTGGATTGTTTTCTGCTAGGCCCTCAGGAAAGTCGACAGCCTCAGGAAACTGCTGTCAGCCCTGGAGGCCAAGGTGAAGGTCCAGACAGCTCCCAACAAGGATGTGCAGAAGGAGATCGCAGATCTCGGTGAGGTGAGGATGGTAGCAGTGCTCTGCCTCCCCAGAGTGAATGGGACCTTGATTGCCAGCACTGGGTTGCATTAATGAGGCCCATGTTCACCTTCCTGCTCCTGTCTGACAGCCCTGCATCCCACGGGTGCTGCAGCTGGCACGTCCTGACTGGGTTGTTGGCACTGGGAGAGGAGCGGGGCTTACTGGGCTCTGCCAGTTGAGACACTGAGGTTCATGAGGTGCAGCATCTCCTGGTTGTGGTCGCTAGTACCTTTAACCCTCTCCACCTGCTCTTTTGCAGACTCTGGCCACTGCTGTTATCCCACAGTGGCAGAAAGATGAGCTGAGAGAGGCTGTTAAAGCGCTGAAGAAAGTTATGGATGACCTGGACCGTGCAAGTAAAGCTGACATCCAGAAACGGGTGAGCCCTGGGCTGGAATAAAGGATAGTGTGGGAGGGCTACAGGGCACTCCCTTGGGAGCTCTGCTTGTGTCCATCGTGGAAGGGAGCTGAGCTGTGGGGACACCCCTCACACTGTTCAGTCTTCCAGACTCTCCTGCTCCCTCCCAGAGCACAGCTACCTCCGTGCCTGCTCCCTGCGTTGAAGCATGGCATGTGTCTTGGAAGTAGGGGTGCTCCTACCCTACTGGTGCCCCTGGGTGCAGGCTTCTTCTCCTGGATCCCACTGGAGTTTTCTGGAGGAGGATTTAACACATAACATTACTGCTACCTTGCAGGCCACACACCCACCTGCCAAAATATTTTACTCCTGGCTCCACAGTGTGAGGCTGCTCCAGGCTGGGCTGTGGGTGTTTTTGGGCACCTTGGGGGCCTCCATACCTGCAGGGGAAGCTCTACCTGTGTGGTTCTTGTGTCCATACACATTGTGGGTGCTCTAGTGTTTGTTTTCTGACCAATGTTGTCCTCAGGTGCTAGAGAAGACCAAGCAAGTCATTGAGAGTCACCCTAATCAGCCATGGGTCATTATGGAAATGGAAAATGGAGCCTCAGCGAAGGTATGGGAAGGCCTGGTTTCTCCTCAGCAACCTTCCTTGTGCCTTGAGGAGCAGCTGGATGGTCTCTGCTCCCTCAGGGAGGCAGTGCAGTGCTGCAGAGCTGTCCTTCTTCACACCTGCTGTCCCTGAGGAGGAGGAGGGACTGCTGGGGCAGTGGAAGTCATGATGTTTGTGGCCCCTGCAGATCAGCTCCAGGAGCGTTGTCCTGGGCTGGCTGTGTGGACAGGGCTGGGCAGAGAGCTGCCCCCCAGCTCTTGGGCACTGTAAGCCACAGCTGGGTTCAGGTTCTTCCACAGCCAGGGCTGAATCTGCTCCTTCCCTCCTCCACACACAAGTTTCTTTCCAAGCGATATCTGTTGGAATAATAGCTCCCTTTTGTGCACTGTGCCACAGTGCTGAGCCCAGCAGGTGCCAGGCAGCAGGGACTGATCGTGCCTGGGGTTGGAGTGCTCTGGTTTTAATGCCCTGTTTAAATTTCCACTCTGGGAGTCTTGGAGCTGATCCTGCTCGCTCTCTGTGGCCCTCCCTGTCACCATGACACCCACGCTCGCAGTGGGTGCCATCTCAGTGTTCTCCCTGGCAGAAGGGTGCATCCCAGGGGATGGCAGTGCTGGCAGCCCGGGGAGCTGCGTGTTCCCAATCCACCCAGAGCAGCGCTGCTTTGCTTGCCAGAGGACCTGCTCCTGGAGCTTCTGTGCTGCATCGTGCTGTCTGTGTGAACAAGGGATGATGCTCTCCTTGGGAATAGCAGGATGCATGGCAATCTCCCTGGTTCTTCCCGTGTGCCTGCTGTGTCTGTTAACCCTTGCAGCCTCTTCATGCTGTTTTTGAGTTCTCCTGAGTCACTTTGGAACAGCTGTTCCCTCCTGCTGGGGGGAGCTTTTTCCCCCTCCAGCCAGTAACTCAGGCTAAGGTTCACTCTGGGGCAAATTCTGCCAGTTCCTGGATAACTGAAGGTGGAGAAATAAAGGCAATTTCTCCTTCCTGCCTCAGGGGACACAGACAGGGCTTGTGTCATCTGCCAAGGCTTCTACACTGTGAGGGATGTGAATATGGCTTGTGTTGGGGAGGAGGAGGACAGCAGGGTGCTGCTGGCTGGTTTAATGCAAGTCCAGATCCCTGAGGTCTCTGTGGGTGCCATGGGGGCTGGAGGTGAGCTGGGTGTGAGTGCAGGGAAGATGTGCTGCAATAATTTTCTTCTCTTACAGGCCCTGAATGAATCTCTGAAGCTCTTCAAGACTAACTCCCCCCAGACTGCTGCCATGCTTTTTGCTGTGGATAATGAAGCTGGCAGGATCACCTGCCTGTGTCAGGTACCCCAGGTAATGCTGAGACACTCTGTATCTGCCTCTCCCTGAACCTTCCTGGGGGAGATGCAGCTTCCAGGCAGGAACTATCCAACACTCCATGGCCGGGATTGATTTGGGTTTGGCCAGAGCCACAACCCTCATGCTTTGGTGTATCATCAGTCTACAGAAGTGTGGGAAAAAGGTGGTGCTGTGCAAATGGGGAAGAGTCAGAACGTAACATGGTGGTAGGCATGGGTCAGGGAGACAGCTGTTTGTCCCTCAGTGCTGACCAGTGATTTTTTTTTCCCTTTTCCTGCCCAGGAGACTGCAAATAAGGGCCTGAAGGCCAGCCAGTGGGTGCAGGAGGTGTCTGGCTTGATGGATGGCAAAGGCGGTGGGAAGGACATCTCTGCACAGGCAACGGGCAAGAACGTGGGCTGCCTGCAGGAAGCCTTGAAACTGGCCACGGACTTTGCTAGGCTCCGGCTGGGGGAGCTGAAGAACTGACTGAGGGGTGGTCCCTGGCCCCCTTTTCCTACTGTTTCCCCTGCGCGGATTTCCTGTCAATAAAGGTTCCCTGCCCTGCTCGCTGCGGCCCTGCTCTACTGGGGGAGCAAGATAGGAGGGGAGGGGATGGGATGGGATGGGATGGGCTCCTCCTCCTGCCTGTCACAGCCTGTGCCTGTCCCCTCCTCCTGCCCGTCCCCGCCTCCTTCCTGTCCCCGCCCGCTGCCGCCGTCCCGCCGACCATGCCGCTGGATCACCGCCGCCTGTGCGGCCCGGAGGAGTCGCAGCCGCCCTCTCTGTGGGCAGCGCTCGCGGCCGAGGATGAGGACGAGGAGGGCGCGGGGGCCGCGCCGCGGGACCCCTGCTCTTTGCGGCCGCTGTTCGCGCGGGCCGGGCTGCTGAGCCAGGCTCAGGGCTCGGCCTACGTGGAGCTGGGCAGCGGCACCAAGGTGCTCTGCGCCGCCTGGGGCCCGCGGGAGGCGGCCGAGCCCGGGCCGGGCCGGCTGCTGTGCGAGTTCCGCCGGGCGCCCTTCGCGGGCCGCGGGGCGCGGGGCCGGCCGGGCGGGCTGGCGGAGCGGGAGGCGGAGCGGGAGGCGGCGGCGGCGCTGCGGGAGGCGCTGGAGCCGGCGGTGCGGCTGGGCCGGTACCCGCGGGCCCGCCTGGCCGTCAGCGCGCTGCTGCTGCAGGACGGCGGCTCGGCCCTGGCCGCCGCCGTCAGCGCCGCCGCCCTGGCGCTGGCGGACGCCGGCGTGGAGATGTACGACCTGGCCGTGGGCTGCGCGCTCTGCCGCCCGCCCGCCGCCACAGCCGCCGCCTGGATGCTGCAGCCCGCGGAGCCCGAGGAGCGCCGCGCCGCCGCCCGCCTCACGCTCGCCCTGCTGCCCGCCCTCAACCAGGTGTCGGCCGTGCTGGGCGGCGGCCAGGGCGGCCCCCCCGAGGACTGGGCGCAGGCCCTGCGGCTCGGCCTCGACGGCTGCCACCGGCAGTACCCGGTGCTGCGGCAGAGCCTCCTGCGGGCCGCCCAGCGCCGCGATGCCGCCGCTGCCGCCACCGCCGCCGCTGCCTCTGTGGCCTGAGCGCCCGCGAGACCCGGGTGCCCCGGTCTGGGGATGGGATCGTCTCCCAGAGCCCGTCCAAGCTGCCTTCGGTGCTGCCAGAGACCCCTGGAGCCTGCCTGATCAGCGCCTCGCTGTTGGGGATTGAAATAAGTTTGCTTTTAGAACATTAGAAGTTTATTAAGTTTAATTCTAACTACTGGAGACCACCACGGACCCAGCTTGTTCCACACCTCATGCTGCCAGAGACCCCGGACCCAGCCTGTTCCATGCCTCGTGCTGCTGGAGACCCCGTGAGCCAACCCTCGTGCTGCTGGAGCCCCCCAAAACCAGCCTCCATACTGTCTCAGCAGCCAGAGCCTGCCTGAGACTTCCCTTCAAGCAGCTGCTGGCACTGCGGGACCCCCACGTCTCACCATGGGGTGGCCCCGGCACCAGGCTGAGACCCTCACACCGAGCTCCCCACCACAACCATCTGTGCAGGCAGGGTTCAGTCACCCCTGGGCAGGAACCACACCGTGGCATGGACTGCACATCCCTTGGGCCTCTTGCCCGGGCAGTGCTTCAGGGCAGCAGAGTTGTGTTTTGTTGGCTTTTTTTCATAGTAATAAATCATTTATTTTCTGGTGAGTCTTCTGCCTGCAGAGCTCTGCTAGGGCCTCTGCTAGCCAAGGGCTAGTCCCTCCCTTCCATGATTGGGGTCACTCCCCCTCTATTCCCTCTGTTCTTCCTTGAGGGGTGCAGGTAGACCTGGGTGCTGCCTTAGGATCTGGTTGTTCCTGGGGATGGAGCAGAGCATCCAGTCCTGTGTGCCCAGCTGCACCGTCGTGGGCTGGTAGGGAATATTCTGGGTATTTTCCACTGGGAAACAGAGCAGAGCTGCAGGAAAGGCAGCATCCAAGAAAGCCAGGGACTGTGTCCGGCAGAACACAGAATTAGATACAAAAATTAAATGAGCACTTCAGACAGTTACAAACTGCACCAGAGTTAAATAACCAGAAAAAATAAATACAAATTATTTTTCTTTCCAGCACAATACACTCTTTTTACCAGAGCAAATTAGAAATACAGAACGAGTTCCTACCAGTGAGAGAAGGACGACCAAGAAATGAGGGACACGGAACCGAAATGTGATGCTGGGGAGCACGGGGGGACCAGGACTCCTCGGGTGCAGGTGAGGGGCCCTGGTAAAGCTCTCACAGGAGCCCCACTGACTGCAAACGCAATGCCTGGACAAGAACAGCCCGTGGAAAACCAGTAAGGAAAATACATTTGGGAGCAGGGGCAAATGGGAGCGATTGGGTTGGCATTGCCCCACTGCTGGTCACGCAGCTCGCATCAGAGCTAGGCTTGGCACCATCCCAAAATCCCGCGAAAACCTCCTGGAGATGGGTTAGGGTGGTTCCTCCTTCCTGTGGTGGGTCAGAAAGCTGCCACGGGCTGTACCTGTGCCTGCTGCACCAATTCCCAGCAGGGTCTGACAGTTGAGATGTGACCTGTGCCATAGGGGTGGGAACCCTGGGCTGCTCTCTCTGTGCCCCACAGCACCCTGTGGGTGAGGAGGTGCTACCAGCAAGGCAAATGGGATTTGGGTTGCTCCTTTGGGACATGGTCCTTTTTCTTTTGTTTCTGCTCCTCCCCTCCCTCCCCTGGCCACCTCTGCTTATCCCTAGGTCTGAAAACAGGAGGAAAAAGAAAATGAGCGCATTGTAACACAAAAACTTCTCTTGCCCCAGCCGGCCGGCAGCTGCCAGGGTGGGACACGGGGCTGCCGGTGGCTGGGGATGGCTGTGCCAGGAGCGGGCACCTCGCGTTGTGCCTGGCTGGAAGCCTCAAAAGAAATAATGAACACAAGCTGGGAAGGACTGGCCACACGGGAAGGCCACAGCATCCCAGTCCGGCTACTGGCTCCCCTCGGGATCCGACATGTGGGTTTTCACCTGTGAGGAGAAACACGCGGCATGGCCGTCCTCCGTGCTGGCAGCAGGATCAAACCCAGTGCCCTGCCCGGCACGGGGATCCTCGGGATCCCACATCCAGCTGGGGGATGTGGGTGAGGGAGCAGCACCTTTGATAAAAGGTATTTCTGCTCCGAGGGATTTTTTGCAGCCTTAGTGCAGCCTTGATTCACACCCAGGGGTTTGCTGCGGCGTGCTTGGGCCTGTCCCAGAGGCACCGGTGGTTTTAGCCCTGGCACCCAGCTGGAATGGCTTGGGGAACCCTGGTGGAGCACCTCATCTACTCCAGGAATCCCTCACCAGCAAGCAGATGTGGATTTTAGGGAAGCAGAGAGCCCAGCAGAGGATCTGGCCCTCCTCTTACCGTCTCCTCGGTGTCTGTGCTCTCCTCGGCGCTGTCGATGTTGCGCAGGTCACTGTGCCCGTCAGCTCCCACCCCCTCCTTCCCCCGCGACTCCCGGGACCCCTCTCCTGCTGGGGACGGCGACTCTCTCCCTGGCTCTGCCCTCTTCTTCTCACTCTCCTTGGACCCTGCAAAGCCAGAGACAGCAGAAATTTGGGGTACCTGTGCAAACATCAGCCCTGCCCTCGCCTGCATTCCCTTGTGCCAAAGGGCTGGGTTTTTACTTGGCAGGGAAGGAGAAGGAGGTAAGGAACCTGCCAGCCAGCTCTGGATGTCCTGGGCACACAGGGAGGGACCCTTACAGCCAGCTCAGGGTCCAGGCTCACATGTGCCCTCAGGTTGCCCAGCACAGACACCCCAGTGTTGGAGGGTCTGGGCCCGTCCCCTCACCCGTGAGACGCTCTCTCCTCTGGTCCATGCGGTCCAGGCTCTCCAGCAGACTGTCCACCTGTGCCTTGATCTGGCTCAGCTCCCCCTTGATGGAGTGCAGCTCTTCGGCTCGCACTGCAGGGAGAGGAGTTGTGAGGAGCCCACCCAGAGCAAGGAGGACACGCCATCCTGGGCAGCCACCTCTGAAGCATCCCACTCTCTGGAGCATTCCCCCCTCTGGAACATTCTCCTTCACAAAACATCTTCCTCTATGAAATATACTCCCCACCAGACATCCTTGAGGAACAGGAACGGGCCCAGGGGACAGTCACCACCCCAGTGCAGCCCAGGCTGCATCTGCTGGAGCTGGGGACTCACAGCAGCAGGGTCAGCACACACTGAGACGTGAGGGCTGAGCCTCTTCTTTCTCCCAGCCCTGTCACACTTACACTTTGTCCGTCCTGCCGTGGAGCTGGTGCTGCTCCTTGTCCCGGGCTGGGGACTCAGGCTGCTCTTGCCTCCTGCTCCCAGGTGAGTCCGTCTGGTCTTGACCGGGATGCGGTTAATGAGGGGGGGGATCTTCTGGTACTCATAGACCCTGCAAGGGCACAAGAGCACAGTGGCATGAGCACAACCTTAGAGGTGCAGCAGTACCCCTTGCCAGCCAAGAGAGCATCTCTTTGGGTCCCTGTGTGGTGAAAGGACCCACAGTGTGGGCACTGCCCTGCCCACATGGTGCCCCTGCCCCTTGTGCCCCCTCCCCAGGCCCCCAGCCTGTGGAAGCTGCGGCTCCTCAAAGTGGGGAAACACCACTGAGCCTCTCTTGGAGGCAGGGGGACAGATGCCCAGGGACACCCTGCTTTTCCACGATCACACACCAAACCCACACATGCTCATCCCGCTCCTGGGATGCTGCGCTCACCGGTACGGGAAGTCATCCCTGTAGAGGTCGTAGTCCAAGTCACAGTTACTGCTGCAGGAGGGGGAGAGAGGAGAACATGTCACCTGCTCTGTGGATCACCATGGAGCAGTCACTGCTGGGCACAGGAGGGCAGAGACACCCACCCAGCCTCCAACCCCCCGGAACAGGAGGCATTCCAGAGGATCCCACACAAGCTGCCTGGGCTGCAACATGCCCTGGGCGGTGTCTGTGCCCTGGCAGGGATCTTTCTCGAGGCAAACAAGGGTGTTGGGAGGGATGGTGAGAGCCCCCGGGGCAGCATCAGCAGGGTCTGTCCTCAGGAAGCTGCATTTAGAGTGCCCTGGTGTTAAACTCCACAGTCCCTGGCTCCAGGTGTGCTGTCAGCTCACTCGGCTCCAAACTAAGAACCAATCTGTCAGCGGATCCCCTCCAGTGCGGGCAGTGACATGTCCGTAATAAATCATGTGCCATGGACCAGGAGTGGGGAGTGGCGGGAGGAGGAAGAGGAAGAGGAGAAGGAGGAGGAAAGATGCTGAAGCTCATTTTGCTGCTTCAGTTCTTGCGGAGTCAGGGAGCTTAGAATTAAACCTAACCTAAGTAGAGACAAAGCCACGCTCCAGGCATCACTTGGAGCAGGGAGCCTTCCTGCTGTCAGGAATGGGGGGACCAGTTCAAAGTCCCCCAGGGCTCCAGATCTGGCTGCAGATGAGCTTGTCACTGTGGGATCAATGCTGGGGCTCAGGGAGGTCTGCTGAGGGGCTCACAGGCAACCTGGGCTGCCCTGCCTGGGGCACCAAGCCTGGGCCAGGCTCACCCAGCCCAGAGGGCAGCTTGGAGCCTGTCATGGGGCAGAGGCACCTCCTGTCCTGCTGCCACCCTACCTTCTTCAGGAATCCTCTGCACAAGGCAGAGCCCACAAGCATCAGCCCTCCTGGTAAGGGCAAGCTGGCAGCCCTGGTGACCTGCCTGCTCCTGTGCTTTGCATGTGGGGTTCAATCCTTGGGGTCTATTTTGGGAGCTTTTGGTCCAGACTTGCTGCCTTCCAAGTTTCTGTTGCTGTGACAGGGATGGTGTGTCCTTTTCATCCCCAACTCCTGCCTGTCCTGGGAAAACAGGGAATGGGCAGACAGAGAGGTGTCCCAACCCACACACGGGGCACAGGGAAGGTGCCTGCCCCAGTGGCTGCTGCTGCTGCATGGAGCCCACACTGAAAGGTTTGGGGATGCCACAGGACACCCTGTGCCGTGGGAGAACTGGTGGCACTGCAGGATACCCGGTCTTGGGGTCTAGCACCCAGCTAGGGACACAGCAAGGGGTTTCCTGGCTCAGCTCTTTGCTCAAAGAATCCCCTGGGAAGAGCAAAGGCAGTGGCTGCCACGCTCCAGCGCCCAAGGGGGCCAAGCAGTCCCGGCCCTCCAGTGCTGCCTCCCTTCAGCTCCATGGCAACAGGCAGAGCAATTAGTTCAATCAGGGCGTTTGCAAAAAAGCTCTTATGAGACAGAGGAGCCCGGCTCCAATCCCCTCCTCACCACACATCCACCGAGACGGGGAGACAACAGTGTGCAGGGATGGGGACCTGCTCTTCTGCCACCATCAGTGCCATCACCATCACCATCTCCTACCGCCATCCTCAGGGCCATCACCACCCCCGTGTGTCCCTGCAGGGGTGTCTGTCCCTGAGGAACAGCATTTAAAAGCCACAATTGCAACGGATATAGACACAGAATCGTAGAATTCTGGAATGGTTTGGGTTGGAAGGGTCCTTAAAGCTCATCTCATTCCAAATCCCTCTGCAATAGGCAGTGACACCTTCCACTAGACCAGGAAGCCCCATCCAACCTGGTCTTATGCATTTCCAGGGATGGGGCAGCCACAGCTTCTCTGGGCAGCCTGTGCCAGAGCCTCACCAACAGGAAGAATTTCTTTCTTATGTCCAACCTAAACCTGCCCTCTGTCAGTTTGAAGCCATTACTGAAGGAG